TATATATAGATGAGAAATCTTGCCTAAGGGAAGAATTTCCTCCAGAACTGTTTTTAGGGGAAATAAAGAACAGCAGTTAGTTAGTGGGCATACTATTAATTTGAATTATGGGTGTGGAGTAATCAGTCTAGAGAACCTCTATTTTTCTCCAGGGAGAATAACCATAGCTAAAATCCCTGTAAAGAAATTAGATTTCGAAAGTATAATGGGATGCATCACTGTGAATAATAATTGGTACATGCAATAGACTATATATATTTGGCATTACCTTATATAATAAGATAATATGCAAGTCGACTGTCACTCTAGCACACAATATGCCCCCCCCCCATGTTGACACAAGAGGGCTGGCAGGGGAGAGCAGTTGGGGGCAATCAGGCCGGCAGGGTAAGGCAGTTAGTGGCAACCAGCGTGGCAAGGGAGGGCAGTTGGGAAAAACCAGGCCTGAAGGGAAGGGCAGTTAGGGGCAATCGTGCTGGCAGGAGAGCCGTTTGGCATCGATACGGCTGGCAGTGGAGTGGTTAGGGGGTGATCAGGCAGGCAGGTGAGCAGTTGGGAGCCAGTAGTCCTGGATTGTGAGAGGGGTATCTGACTGCTCTCAAGGGATCTCAGATTGGAGAAGGTACAGGTTGGGCTGAGGGACACACACGCACGTGCGCGCTCATGAATTTTATGCACCGGGCCTCTAGTCAAATATAAAAAGTGATTGTAAATATAAGGGGCAAATAATCTTGATGAAAATATAAGCAGGTTCAGTCGAAACCGGTTTGGCTCAGTGGATAGAGCATTGGTCTGCAGACTGAAGGGTCCCAGGTTCGATTCCGGTCAAGGGCATGTACCTTGGTTGCGGGCACATCCCCAGTAGGGGGTGTGCAAGAGGCAGCTAATCGATGCTTCTCTCTCATCGATGTTTCTAACTCTCTATCCCTCTTCCTTCCTCTCTGTAAAAAAAAAAAAAAATCAATAAAATATACTTTAAAAGTATATATATATATATAGGCAGATTCAAAGGAAACAAATAGAACTCTTACAAATGTAAAATATGATTATTGGAATAATAACTTAAAACCAGGTTACAGTTTAGGTACACATCAATAAGAATCAGCAGACTAGGGGATGAGAACAACCAAGGAGAAGTCAATGGGGTAAAAAGGAGACATGTAATACTTTAAACTAGGGGTGTCGAACTCAATCAGAGAAGGGGCCAAAATCTAAAATCCAGCCTAAATCGCGGGCCGAATGGTTTACTGAACAGTCATAAACTGTCATTGTGATGGAAACGCAGTGGAGTGCAGTGATGACAGCGCGGTGCGGGCCACATTGCAAGGCCTGGCGGGACGGATTTGGCCCGAGGGCCTTGTGTTTGACACATGTGCTTTAAACAATAAAGAATTTAAATTACAAAAGGGAAATCTTTCTAGCAACCTTAGAGCTCACCTTGTCCACATATAACTGTCACTTTTACCCAGAATAAAGCTGGTGGAGCCCTAGGGGCACGGAGAAAAGGTGTGCACTCTCCAGTCACCTTCCGGAAAGGCTCTGCTGCTCCCTGTCTACAGCATTCAAAATCGTACAGGAGCGCTGGGCTTGGCCCTCACATGGAGCAGGTGTGTGCAGAGGATGAGAGAGAGGAGACTGTGGTCAGTCCTTGACTAGTGCCTTCAGACATCTGCAAGATTCTTCACAGAAGTCACAGTTCCCTTCTACAAGATTTGTCACCAACTGAAGAAGAGCCAGTGTCCCCTACTGGGGAGGGTAGCATGGACAGTGCCTCTGAGAGCACTGGGAGCATCCTCAGCAAGCTCGACTGGGATGCGATCAAAGACATGGTTGACAGCATGGAAGACAAGAGCCTGTCTGTCCACTGGGCCCTGGATCTGTAAGGCCTACATGTATTCTGTTTCCAGGGCCGGCAGCACAGTGGTGTGGACTTAGGGAGGGAAGCAATATAGAGAGTGATGTGAATTTACCATCTGCAGCCATATATTACCTGGACAAGCCATTTTAAGAGGGAAAATAGCCGAAACCGGTTTGGCTCAGTGGATAGAGTGTCGGTCCGGTCAAGGGCATGTACATTGGCTGCGGGCACATTCCTGGTGGGGGGTGTGTAGGAGGCAGCTGGTCAATGTCTCTCTCTCCGATATTTCTAGCTTTCTATCCCTCTCCCTTCCTCTCTGTAAAAAATAAATAAAAATATTTTTTTTTTAAAGAGGGAAAATAAACACGTCTCAATAATTTTGCATTCCTGGGAAAGGGTTCTTTAATTATAGATGTATTATACGTTTTTGCATTTGACTTATATTTGGGCATTATTTTTTAAGTGATAAAAAAATTAAACACACCTTTCAAACTGAAAAAAAAAATTTTTTTTTAATTATTTTTAAAATCAGCAGGCTGGAATATGTATTCAGGGAATTAGATGAACTCCAGCACTGAGTGTTCAGTCATGGAAAGCATAGGGGAAGTAGAGATTGATATATTAATTGTATAAAACTTACATATGGCAAAAACACTATAAACAGAGAAAAGACAAACCATGGAGTAGAAAAAGAAAGTTTTCATACTAGTCAAAAAGATTATTTAAAGCACTTATCCAAATCAGTAAGAATTCCAAAATCCACCCTAGACAGGCTCAGTGGATAGAACGTTAATATGTGGACTGAAGAGTCCAGAGTTCAATTCTGATGAAGGGTATGTTCCCGGGTGTTGGGCTCATTCCCAGTGGGGGCTTGCAGGAGGCAGCCGATCAGTGATTCTCATCATTGTTTTTTCTATCTCTTCCCCTCTCCCTTCCTCTCTGAAATCAATGAAAATATGTTTTGAAAATTCTGAAATCCACAGGGAAAAATGGTCAAAGTATGCAAGCAGGAAATTCACAGGAGAGGTTTGCTTTAGTGGCCAATAAACTGAAAATTTGTTCATTATCATTTGAATCAGAAAAATTAAAATGAGCCCTTGCCAGTTTGGCTCAGTATATAGAATGTCAGCCCACAGACTGTAGGGTCCCAGGTTCGATTCTGGTCAAGGACACAGAACTCGGTTACAGGCTCAAGAGGTGGACATTCCATGTGTCCCTTCACTATTTTTCTCTCTATCCCTCCCCATCTCTTCCACTTTCTAAAATTGAATGGGAAAAATATCCTCAGGTGAGGATTAACACAAAAAATAATGAAACCTTCAAAATTCCATGTCATACCCATTAGTTTGGCAAAATGCTAACTTTTATCATACCTCCTGAGGATGAGGTACTAAAATCACTATTGAAAAAATAGTATAACCTTTAATAGCTATAGCACTTTGATAATGCCTCTGTTATGCCTCTGTTATTCTCTATCTAGCGATTCCTCTGCTGAATTTGTATCATAGAGGGCTTTCATGAATATGCATATGCATAAGAAGAGTTTTTCAAAGAATGGTCATTATAACCTATAATAAGAAAAGTATAATATGCTAATTAGACCAGATGTCCTTCCGGATGACCTCCTAGACAAAACTGCGGGGGCCGAAGCAGAAGTGGCAGCAAGGGCCACATTAGTGGCAGAGGAGGGCCAAGACCCTTGTACGAATTTCATGTATTGGGCCTCTAGTCCTATATAATAAAGGCCTAATATGCTGCTAATATACTAAGGCCATTCAACTGCTCACTATGACATGCACTGACCACTAGTAGGTTAGCTTACTGCTGGGGTCTGACCTATCAGAACTGAGCGAGATGGGCCAGACACACCCTAGAGCTCTCCCATGTCCCTCCCCAACCCTGATAATGCACCAGCAGGGCCCCTCAGCCTGGACTGGCCCTCTTGCAGTCTGGGTTGAGGGGGAGAGAGAGAAAGAGAGATGCACAAATTTCATGCACTGGGCCTCTACTATTATAAATTGCAAAAATGTTGCAGTCAACTAGAAAAGGATTATTAAGTTGAGAAATACTGTATTACAAGTCAAATGGAACTTAACAAGGAAAACACTGTTTGCAGAATCATGTCATGCTGATAGCAATAGAAGACAAGGGGCCTATCCGTTAGGGGAGAAAACAAGATCTATCCTGGCTTCTCCCTTCCGTTTTTGTGTCTGAAATTGTTCTTCATCCCTTTGTGTTTCTCTTTCTCCTGACTGTCCGATTCCCTACTTGCATTGAGTGCCCTGTGGACATATCTATGAGAAAAAGAAAAAAAAATCATACCTGCCTTCCAGTTCTATGCCAATTCCAGCTGGCATGTTTTCCATTATTCCCAGCCAGATGTAAGGGTCAGCTGCCAGTCTAAGGATTGGTTGAAGAGCATATACTATGGAAGTGCATGGATGTTTTTGTAAATCTTGAGAACTTGTAGAAACATATAAAATCCTGTATATGTTTGGAAGGCAGCTATGCTCACCACTATACCACCAACGCTGCAAAATCCTGTATATGTTTGATTTGAGAGTCTGGCCCTAAAAATGTATGTTACTTTTTTTGTTTTTAATATGTTTTTATAGATTTTTAAAAAGAGAAAAGAACAAGGGGAAGAGACATCAATGAGAGAGAACCATCAATTGACTGCTATTGGGCATGTGCCCTGACTAGGAATTGAACTGGCAACCTCTCGGTGCATGGGATCATGTTCAACCAACTGAGCCACACCAAGCCAACACTATGTTGCTTTTTAGAGAGAAAAAGGAAGTGACAAGGATAATCCCCTCATTCAGTCATCTATTTTTTTATTTTTTTCTAATTTCATTATTCTTCAGCCTTGCTCTTTTCCCTCTCACATTCAAGTGCTTGCCTTATCACCCTCATCACTCTACTTGAACACAGTATGACTAAGATGAAACAGTATTCCATCTATAGAATCATCATAATTACCAAAAAGAGACAGGCAAAGGAAGCACAGGTGACTTCATGATACTACTTTGTGATCTTTATTTCTTCCTTCTCTCACAATGATAAGGATATTTAATCAACATCTTAAGTAGAGAGTACTTACTTAACTCACTTGTACCATGATGCTTTGTGTCCATTGTAGACCGAGCTAAGAGGAGAAAGCTCAGGGAAGAAAGGGCATGGCTGCTGGCTCAAGGCAAGGAGCTCCCCCCAGAGCTTTCCCACCTGGACCCTAATTCCCCCATGAGGGAAGAAAAAAGGATTAAAGATCTGTGAGTATTTAATGATACTAATAGTAGCAACCTGTAACATTTATTAAGCACTTGGCATTGTGCTAAGTGCTCTCTCATTTAATCCTTAAAACAATACTCTTTGGTAGGTAATATTCTATCTTCATGAGCTTCTCATTCTTTTTTATGCTTTTTTTGATTATTCTTTATATCACAAATACTCATTAGAGTAAAATAAGACCTGGAAAAGAATGTGCTATTAAATAACTAACATAATAAGTTTTGTGTCATCTATGCTAACCCTTAGGTAATTCATAATTATTTTCTGGTGTGTTAACCACTGTTATAAACTTAACATTAATAAAAATTATTGGATCTATTCCAAAACTTGGTGCAACCAACTATGTCTGTTTTTAAAGTAAGAGAGTTAAAGAGAGATCAAAGTTACTATTGATTTTTTATTTATGATTTACAGCTTTGAGTTGGATGATGATTTCACTGCCATGTATAAAGGTCAGTCCCATTCTCAACTATTATGTTTCTGATAAAAGTACTCCTATGTGAGATTATTAAGCTCTCTTCTTTGGCTCTCAGTTCTAGATGTGGTAAAGGCTCACAAGGATTCCTGGCCCTTTTTAGAACCTGTGGATGAATCATATGCCCCAAACTATTATCAAATTATTAAGGTAGCTAAACCTACTATGCAGTTACACCTGTCATGATGTTTGTTTTTTGCTCTTGCTTTTTGTTGTTGTGTTTTGCTTGAGTTTATTTATTGTTCCTTGAGGGTCAGGGTTGCTGATCGTATACACCAGGCTTTTGACTAACTCAAAACAGCATGATCCCTTTGCCATATATTGATTATGAGATGTTTTCTCCAGCATATTGTAATTAAATGTGTCCTGTTTTAGGTCCCAATGGATATTTCAAGCATGGAAAAGAAACTAAATGGAGGCTTATACTGTACCAAGGAGGAATTTGTAAATGACATGAAGACAATGTTCAGGAATTGTCGAAAATATAATGGGGAAAGTAGTGGTAAGTGGGGCAGGGGTTTGCTCTGGGTGCACATTGGCTGAATTATTGTAACCAAGAATAAAATGCCTTTTAGAAATATACATTCTGGCTCTATCCATTTTGGCTCAGTAGATAGAACATCAGCCTATGGACTGGGGGGGTCCCGAATTTGATTTGCTCAAGGGCACAATAAAATATATTTTAAATAAATAAATAAATAAAAGCGCTGTGATTGGCCATTCTAATCACTTACACAATATGTGTCAGGAATTCTCTCCTATCTCTCACAATACAAGAGTGCAACTGGTGGCAGCTGGGCTCAGGTTATTTCTCATTCTCCTACAGGCCAGTCTAGGTTATTTTTATTGTGCCTCTTTAACACAGTGTACCACTGATGATAACTCTACCTAGATAGAGCTGATTCTTTTTTTTTTTTTTTTATTTTTTTTTTTATTTTATTGATTTTTTTACAGAGAGGAAAAGAGAGGGATAGAGAGTTAGAAACATCGATGAGAGAGAATCATCGATCAGCTGCCTCTTGCACAACCCCCACCGGGGATGTGCCAGCAACCAAGGAACATGCCCTTGACCGGAATCAAACCCGGGACCTTTCAGTCTGCAGGCTGATGCTCTATCCACTGAGCCAAACCGGTTTCGGCAATAGAGCTGATTCTTAAATCATTTGGGAAGCATACTTGATTAGCTGTCTATGAGTATATATGGGTCAGGTATGGAAACTTGGAGTCATTCGTGCAGTGGCTTAGAGTGCCTTAGTTTAAAACCTAAACAGATTCAGTGATTATATTTAGTATTTTTACTGGCTTAATCTAATGGTTTCTAGAGTTACTATCAGCCATGCAGCCTATAGCCTCTTAGTTCAGAAACTCAGTTTGCCCCAATAGCATCTTTTGTTTATCAGTAGGACAATTGTCTTTGTGGCCTATAAAAACTGTAGCTGGAGGGCAATTCTTATATCTTCCTGTAGAGTATACCAAGATGTCGGATAATTTAGAGAGGTGTTTCCATCGGGCAATGATGAAGCATTTTCCTGGCGAAGATGGAGACACAGATGAAGAATTTTGGATCAGAGAGGATGAAAAGCGGGAGAAGAGACGGAGTCGGGCTGGGCGAAGTGGTGGAAGCCACATTTGCACCCGCTCCAGGGACTCCGAAGGGCCCAGCAGGAAACAACAGCCAGTGGAGAATGGAGGAAAATCATTGCCACCTGCACGCAGAGCTCCCTCCTCTGGGGCTGGTCAGAGTGTCAGCTCTACACAGCTCCCTCCGAAGGTGGGCACACCAAGTAACCAAGGCCTTCCTCGTCCCCTGCATTATGGTGGGATGCCCAACCAGGCACCCCTTTTAAATCAGATGGTAAGAAATAGCAGAAATTCTGCTGAGGTTACTCCTAATTGGTGAATTAAGAAGAAAGTAAAGCCTTTTCAGTTGGCTTCTCTTCCCTGATAATTTTGCTGTATATGGGTACTTTTTCCCCCCCTCATCTGTCCTTCCTTTATTCTTCCTTTATTTTAAACTAGAGGCCTGGTGCATGAAAATTCATGCACTGGATGGTAGTTGTCCTTCAACCCAGCCTACCCCCTCTCACAATCCAGGAGCCTTCAGGGGTGGGAGGCAACCGGGGATCAGGGGAAAGCGCAAGCCTCAGTTGGCCCTGGTTACCTGAGCCTTGGGCAGCCCTAAGCAGCTGGGCAGCTGCCATCTGAGTTATGCCTACATCTTGGGCGTTGCCTGGGCAGCTGCCATTCAAGGCTTGCCTGCACCTTGGGCCAGCCCTGGGCAGCTGGGGGCTCTGGAGGTAGGTATGCAGAGCAGACAGACCCAACTGGGAATGGGCCCGGCCATGCTGCGTGCCTGTCGCCTGGGCAGGGCTGAGGGGACTGGGCGCTGCAATCTTGTGGCTGTGGGTGTTGCCTTTTTTGAGGGTGTGGTAGCAATTAGCATATTCCCTCTTTATTAGATAGTATCCTGTCTCTTAATCATTTGAACCACACATTATGAACATGGAGGGGAAGTTGAATAAAAATGTCTCAAGTCTTATTATAAATAAAAGCACAGAGGTACAGCCCCAACCTTGTACACCAACAAAATGTCATGTGTTCAATTCCCAGTCAGGGCATATACCTGGTAGGTTGTGGATTCAATCCTTAGGGTATATACAGGAGACAACCAATCAATGTTTCTCCTCTTACCTCTCCCTCTCTCTAAAATCAATAAATATATCATTGGGTGAGGATTTATTTAAAAAAAAAAAAAAAAAAAAAAAAGCACAGAGCAACATATAATACATAGTATATACAGCCTATCTATAATTCAAATTTCATGGTGGAAGACAATTAAGGGGGGTATATTAGCTAAAAGGGCTCTTATCAGTGAGGGGGCAATAATGGAAAAGATAAACAGATGTTTGTCTCTCCTAGAGAGGAAAAGTGTTTTGGGCTCTGGAACTACTACTACTCTGTGCTGTTATGTTCATCTTCAGGAAAGTCCTCTTTTTTTTAATATATTTTGTTGATTTTGTACAGAGAGGAAGGGAGAGAGATAGAGAGTTCGAAATATCGATGAAAGAGAGTCATCGATCGGCTGCCTCTTGCACACCCCCTACTGGGGATGTGCCCGCAACTAAGGTACATGCCCTTGACCGGAATCGAACCTGGGACCTTTCAGTCCCCAAGCTGATACTCTATCCACTGAGCCAAACCGGTTTCGGCAGGAAAGTCCTTATTTTCTTTCTAATGTCTATTCTTCCTTTCCCCTCCCCACTCCTTGCCTTTACTCAATACCCTCCAGAGGCCAGCAGAACCAGGAACATTTGGCCATCTTCGAGGATCAGATCCTGCCAGTATATATGTCTCCTCCAGAGTCCCAGAAACACACCCTGGGGAGCCTATGCAGCAGCAGCCACCTTTTGCCTTGCAGGTAAGCAAACTGCTCATTACCTGGAGGTATAGAGAGTCTCCAAGGTAACTTTTAGAAATGCAGTGTCTAACCAAGTTAAATTTAATTATCTCCTATTCTATAGAATCTATAGATGAAGCACATTACAAGAGATACCTGATTCTATGGGTCTGGTGAATGCCGCTGTCTTCTCTTTTCTTGTTGCCAGCCTCCAGTTGGAATTAACAAGCATCGAGGACCCAGGCTGGGCACGCCTGAAGAGAAGCAAATGTGTGGGGGGTTGAGGCACCTTTCTAACATGGGATCACATCCTGGTTCCTTGCCTCTTGGGCAGATGAGTGGCCCCAGTCAGGATAGAAATATGTATCCCCCAACTCAATTCCAGCCAGGATTGATTCCTCCCAGGCCTGGAGGGGTTCAAGCCCGACCCCCAGACTTTCCTGAAAGCTCAGAAATTCCTCCCAGCCACATGTACCGATCATACAAATACCTGAATCGAGTATACCCTGCTGTCTGGAATGGGAACCACAGTGCTGCAAACCCAAGACCTTTAGGGCCAGATGAAAAGCCCCTCATGGGGCCAGGACCATCCCACCTGCCTCACACTCTTGGTCACATGATGGATTCCCGAGTGATGAGACCACCTCTTCCTCCAAACCAGTGGACTGAACAATCAAGTTTTCTACCTCATGGTGTTCCTTCTTCAGGGTACATGCGACCACACTGTAAATCTGGTGGGCATCGGTTACAGCCACCTCTAGCACCGAGTCCCCTGTTTGGAGCACCCTCCCAGGTTCTGAGAGGGGTGCAAGGAGGGGACTCCATGATGGACAGCCCAGAGATGATCGCCATGCAGCAGCTTTCCTCACGTGTTTGCCTGCCCGGTGTGCCTTACCACCCCCGACAGCCTGCTCCCCCACATTTACCTGGCCCTTTTCCACAGGGAGCTCACTCAGCATCAGTTAGTGTGTCAGCCCCCAAGCCTGCCTTGGGAAACCTTGGGAGGACACAGGATAACAGTGAAATAGAAGATCCTGAAAATGACCGAGGTAATTTAGTCACTTTTATCCTACTTTTGACCCTCTAAGCTGTTCATTCATGAATAATCTTTTTACACAATATCAAGCCAAATATAAACTGATTTTTCAGCCTCTTTTTCTTGAACTACTCATGGTTGGTCCAATCATGGTATTGTTTTTGATCCAAAGATCCAAATTGGCAATAGTGATCACTATACAAATGAGTGCCAAGCACTTTTTTTGAGGCTTTTAGGTATATTAACTCATTTCATTCTCAGAACAAGTCTTCTAGTTAGCTAATTTTATATTAGTCTTGTTTTTACAGGTGGGAAGTCCAAGATACAAAGGTAGTGGATGATTTGTACTGATCTACCTAGTAAGTGGAGGAACTGAGATTTGAACCCAGACAGACTGGATCCAGCATCCACAATTGTTTTGTTGTTGTTATTTAATGTATTTTTATTGATTTCAGAAAGGAGAGGAGAGAGAAATAGAAACATCAATGATGAAAGAATTATTGATTGGCTGCCTCATGCACGGCCCCTACTGGGGATCAAGTCCACAACTCGGGCATGTGCCCTTGATCAGAATCGAACCCAGGACCCTTCAGTCCCCAGGCCAACGCTCTATCCACTGAGCCAAACTAGGTAGAGCTGCATCTACGTTTTTATTTTTATTTTTATTTTTTTTAAATATATTTTATTGATTTTTTTTTTTTATAGAGGAAGAGAGGGATAGAGAGTTAGAAACATCGATCAGCTGCCTCCTGCACACCCCACACTGGGGATGTGCCCGCAACCAAGGTACATGCCCTTGACCAGAATCGAACCTAGGACCCTGCAGTCCGCAGGCCGACTCTATCCACTGAGCCAAACCGGTTTCAGCTGCATCTACGTTTTTAATCCTGACATCAAACTGCCTTTAAATTTTCTTGTCCTGGAAGTTTATCATTATATGAAATAAGTTTTCAATATTTTAAAGTCTATTTCTATCCTTTTATTCCCTGGGCACATACTAATATGTACTCAGAATGAAGAATAGTGAGATTTTCCCTGGCCAGAGTGGGTTAGCTGGTTGAGTATTGTCTTGTGCCCCAAAAGGCCTGCGGGGTTTGATCCCCAGTCGGGGTATGTGGAGTAGGCAACGATTAATGTTTCTCACATTGATGTTCCTCTCTCTCCCTCTTCCTTCCTCTCTCTTTAAAATCAATTTTTTAAATGTTTTTTAATAAGATTTTTTATTTCATTCAATAAATATTGATTCCCATTTTGTGCAAATACTGAGGGTGTGGAGGGGGACAAAATAAGGCCACTGTGGAGCTTATGCTCTGATAGGCCACAGGTTGGGGACTGGCCTCCTGTGAGCCATCATTCCCTGGTCTTCTCACTGTGTCAAGTTTTAGAGCTTCCCAGCCTGGTCTGCAATTCTTCTATAACAACCATACTCTCCTGCCATACTCCACATGCATCTAGTTGGAGTCCATGAGTCATGAGTCATCTCACACCCATCTACTAATCTTTGGTGACAACACAGAAAGAAGAACATCTCTATTACTTGGCAAACCTTTTGAGTAGCTGTTTAGTTGCTAGATCTTGCCTCCTGGTCTACGCAAGGGAGTGTATAAGGGTCTCGACATCGTGACTCCTTTCAGGGATTCTCAAATTTTCTAGCTGAGGCTTGAATGACTACACATCCACCTCAACCCTGACTCCCCTTAATCTGACTGCTTATCATGTTCTTTTCATTATTACCTCCATTGGTATCATTTCAGCTATTGAATTGTTCTTTTGTTCTCCATTTTCTTATGCAGATCCCTTACCTGGGCTAGAGAAGCCACAAAGAGTTGGTGCCTCAGAGGGGGTGTACCTCAGACAACTACCTCACACTACACCACCCTTACCGACCAACAGTAGCAAGCAGAGTTCGCCACAAGAAAGGGAAGCAGAAGGCCCAGAGCTCAAAAATGACTCCTCAGCATCTGAAAACAACTGTCAGGCAACAAAGGGCAAAAATACCTGGCCCTCGGAGAGTGGCTACATCAGCCCAGCAGCCCAGGGATGTATGGGGGACCTCTCCATTCTGGCAAATAGAGGAGCTCTGTCTGAAAATGGAGTGGTGGTTGAAGTACCCACTTGTGGATCAGAAGGGAAGGGCCCCAGAGGTAAAACATTGCAGGAAACCATTTCATGTTCAGAACAGAACCCAGCTATACCTCCCAATGCAGACCCCAATTTGATGGAAAGAACTGTCGGTCAGTTTTCTCCCTTGTACATGTCTGGCCTGGAATACCCAAATTCAGCTACACATTATCACATCAGTTCAGGCCTGCAAGGCCTTGGCCCTGTGATGGGAGGTAAACCCTCAGTATCACATCTTCAGCATTTTCCCTCTAGGGGCTTTCATACTAACAACCCTCATTCTGGAGTCTTTCCCCGTTATCGCCCCCACCAAGGAATGAGGTATTCCTACCAGCCACCACCTCAGCCTTCCTACCATCACTATCAGCGAACTCCTTATTACACATGTCCACAGGACTTTTCTGATTGGCAGAGACACCTTTCTCCCCTGGGAAGCCCAAGTGGCCTCCCACCTAACCAGCCACCCCCTCCAAGACCCCTCTTCTCAGATAAGAATGCCATGGCTAATCTACAAGGCTGTGAGACACTAAATGCTGCCTTAACTTCCCCAACCTGCATGGATGCAGTGGCTGCTAAGATCATTGCAACTGATGGGCAGAATCCTGGTCCAGAGGAAGCGAAGCCAGATGAATCTATGGAGAGGCCAGAGAGTCCCAAAGAATTTTTAGACCTGGACAACCATAATGCAGCTACCAAGCAACAGAGTTCATTGTCAGCCAGCGAGTATCTTTATGGGACTCCTCCATCACCTCTGAGTTCAGGGATGGGGTTTGGTTCATCTGCTTTTCCACCTCAGGGTGTGATGCTACAAACAAGGCCTTCCTATACACCTCACCAGCCAGCCAGTCATCTCCAGCCCAGGGCATATTCTTCCCCTGTGGCTGCTCACCCGCCTCACCATCCAGTGGCTGCCCAGCCCAATGGCCTCTCTCAGGAGGGCCCCATCTACCATTGTCAGGAAGAGGGCCTGGGCCACTTTCAGGCTGTAATGATGGAACAAATAGGCACTGGAAGTGGAATAAGGAGACCTTTTCAAGAAACATACAGACCATCAGGGTAAGATTGCATTTGATTTATTTTTCCCTGAAAAAAAAAAAAAAAAAGTAGATGATAGTTTTTAAAAGAAAAATGGCCTTAGGAATAAAGATAAACTTTAGAGGTCTTCTGGGACCAAGAAGAACATCTGAATCATTGATATGGCAACTTAATGGAAATGTATTAGCCATGAAGTTTGATTTTTATCTTTGACATTTTTCCCCCTCATGAAAATGAGTTGACATTGAAGTGACTGTTTAGTTAGATTTTAACACTAGAAACATTATGGCCACAGTTGTGAGCTGTAATCAAGGGCTTCAACATTGTTTCTGAATTCATATATATTCTGACTAAGGCAAAAAAAGGTCCCTTAAACCCTGCAGGGCAATAGGACATCATATTCAAGTTTTATTCCTCATACCAGTTAAAGTTACGAGACCTAATCATAAAACCAATTTTATCCAACTTAAAAACCTACATTCCCTTCCCTAGCACCAACCTAAGAAAACCTTACCTTCAAACCCTCCTGCACTTACCATTTTTTTATATTTGTTTTCTACCTCTCTAGATATGTTTGGGGTTTTTGTTTTTTTGGTTTGTTTTTTTGGTTTGGTTTGGTTGTTTTTTGGTTTTGTTTTTGTTTTGCCTTTTTCCCTAAACCATTCTAAATTAAGTTTTAGATAACATGACCCTTTACCCCTAAATACTTCCACATGCATATCCTAAGAATAAGGATCATTGTCCTGGACCACAATCTTAAACTATTGATCACACCCAAGGAAAAGGATATTAATAGTATCTAATATAGAGTCCTAATTGCTCCAGTTATTCCCAAAATGTCTTTTATAGCTATGATTCTTTGTTTTTATTTATTTATTTATTTTTTAATATATTTTATTGATTTTTCACAGAGAGGAAGAGAGAGGGATAGAGAGTTAGAAACATCAATGAGAGAATCATCGATCAGCTGCCTCTTGCACACCCCCTATTGGGGATGTGCCCACAATCAAGGTACATGCCCTTGACCGGAATCGAACCCGGGACCTTCCAGTCTGCAGGCCGATGCTCTATCCACTGAGCCAAACCAGTTTCGGCTGTTTTGATTTTTTAAAATTACTTTATTGATTAAGGTATCACATATTTGTCCTCATTCCCCCCCCCCCCCCATTCCCATTCCAAACCCTAGTCCACACATGCCCCCAGCCCCCTGCGGTCCATGACCACCGGTTAGGCTCATATGCATGCACACAAGTCCTTTGGTTGATCTCTCTCCCCTATCCCCACCCTCCTCTACTGTCCCTCGGATTTTTTTTTTCGTTCAAGATCCAATCAAGGTATTTACATTTGGTTATAATGTCTATTTAGTCTCTTTTACAGCATTCCCAAAATCATTGTATTGTTTTCTTTTGTCTTCAAAGAGCCCTGGCCAGTTCTCATGTAGTGTCCCAAATTCTGAATTTTTACTGTTTGCGTTTACAGTCTAGTTAAACACTAAATAAGTGGTCATATACTTACTACATTATGCCCTAGATGCACATAATGCCAATTTCTTCCCAGTATTGATGACTTCCAATTAAATCACATTAAAAATTAAGGCAGTAGCTGGCTGAGATTTTCATGATTAAAGAATCTTTTTTTCCCTTCAATTCTTAACTTTTTCTCTCTCATGGCTATAGAATGCAAATGCATCCAGTCCAGTCACAGTCCTCTTTCCCAAAGACCCCAGCACCAGCAACATTGCAGGAAGAGCTGCCACCACATAAGTCCCAAACACACACTCTTGATCAGGTAAGAGAAGTCAAAAATTAGAGGTTTTTTGTTTTTTTTTTTTAATATATTTTATTTATTTTTCACAGAGAGGAAAGGAGAGGGATAGAGAGCCAGAAACATCGATGAGAGAGACACATCGACCAGCTGCCTCCTGCACACACCCCACCGGGGATGTGCCCACAACCAATGTACATGCCCTTGACCGGAATCGAACCCAGAACCCTTGAGTTCGCAGACCGATGCTCTATCCACTGAGCCAAACTGGTTTCGGCAGAGCTTCTTTATTCCTGCAGGTTGTAGTAGGAGAAAAGTACCTAGTCCCTATCTGCATTGGGAATCCACTGATGCGGAGAGCTGACTTATATGTGGATTTTCAACTGCACGGTGGGTCAGCACATCTAACCCCACATTTTTCATGACTTCATTGCTTTTCTAAAAATATATATATTTTAAGGTGTCCTGTTGATACAGACACTTTTCCCAGAAAGTGCTACAGGCCCTGTGCTTGAGGTTGACTCAGCAGTGGAAAGATGAGGAGAAGGCCTCTGGGGGTAGCTTCTCTACTCCTGCCACATGTTCCTTTCTCCTTTACTTATGTAATCAGCTATTTGGAGATTATTTAACCTTTATTTTTCCAAACTGGCCACCAGCATGTATTTTGATATAATCCCTTGCCTTTTTTGTCCTTTCTACCTATTTGATTTTTGAGGGACTAGGCAATCAGATTTTGAAATAATAGTGCTGCTTCGGTACGTGGCACTGTGCTAAGAGATTTCACGTGCATTCTTCTCTCACTCATAGTCTCCCTCGGCCTCCGCAGAGTAGTTGTCAGTAGCAGCAGCATTGTCATTCCTGGTGTACAAGAAGTCTATAGATACTGGTAGGGTTTGAGTGGGAGGTCTAGCACTTCTGAGCCCCCTCTGGAAGTAAAATGGATGGGGAAACAAAATCCAGCCATTTTCCCAGATTACAAGAACAGGTCTTTGGCTTATTTACAATATTTTTTTTTTTTTAACAATTATCACAAATGTAAATTTTGTTTTAAACATCCTTGTTTTGCTTTTCCCAGAGCTAGTCCAAGGAGGAAATAACCCCTAAGAAAACAGAAAGCTGCACATGAATACTGGAACACGGAGAATTTCGGGGAACAATCCTCGCCCATCTTTATTCTTGTCATCCTGTCACGCCCCCTCACAATGTACCACCTAATGCCATCCAGGAGCTGGAACCATGCCGCTAGAACCACTCTGCTCAAATAATTTGACACACAGCTTACAAGAGTCCTGGTGGTCAGGGTTCTCTTGCATGGCTGGTAGTCAAGAACAAATGAATTGTAGTTAGTGATGGCTTCCAGGTCCTGAGACTTGTTCAGGAAAATCATCTAAAACTTGGGAGGGACATACATAAGCATGGAATCGAGTGGTGCTTGTAAACTTTCATGAGCAGCTAAACTCAGGTATATATTTGGGGAAGGAACTACTCATGGTATTGTCTTTGGAGCTGGGTCCAGTTTACAGAATTTTCACGTTGCCTTTTAAAATAATTTTTGTTGTTGGTGGTGAATGTATGTACATAAACTGGGAAGATGGGTAGGAATCTGGAAAAAATGGAAGTCCTAACTATGGTGGGCACACCACACTGGAGTGATCCTTATCTGTTTACAATCACATCACACTGAATATATCAGCCCAGACAGTTTTATTCCACTGCCCCTTAACTGTTCAGTTTCTCAGTTTGGAGGCAGAATCTCTCATGGCCTTCCAGAAGTTTTTGTCCAGAAGGGAAGACAGGCTGCCCTTTTGTCTGGTGGCCCAGGTCTTAGACTGGGAGATCAGTGCCCTTCCTGGTTTGCCACCAGCTCTACCAGAGCTGTAAACCAATTTCTGGAATTGGGATCACTGGAGTATTTTCTTCTTAGAAGAGACAATTATTTATCCTCTTCACAGACCTGCTGGGACTGTGATCTGGAAGGCATCACACAAAGCTTTCTGGCACAAATCACATTTTGTGGAAGTGACTACTCAGGTTTGTATATGTTAGTATCAATTAAGAAATTGCACAGTTTTGAATAGGGAAAATGTATTTTATAGGTTTACAGTTTGAATTTAGTAATATTTCACTATATAGTCTTTATTTTAAATGTAAAATAAGTCATTGGTGGTTTAAAATAGCTATCAAGAACATGTTCTTGGGAATGTTTGTCGAATATGTGATAGGAAACAATTTTACAGTATTAAATTACTTTATTACAGTTTTAGAAGTGAATTACACTGGATTCTCCCTGTTTAGCATTCTGTATTTGATTTTAGTTGAGATGCCACCAAAGTTAGGGCTTATATAAATATCCCACAAAGAAAGAACTAAGGAAAATGCCCTGAAATTAGTAGATTTTTTTTTTTTTAAGAATAGCATATTTTTAAGCATGCCTTTAGGATAATGGAAAAGCTACCCACATATATTAATCTGTCCTATTTACTTATAAATTTATTTGTGAAGTGCCAATAGGACTTTTCACTCCAACATCCTTGATGAAATGTGAAACTGTCATTTTTAAAGTTTGTTAAACATATGCTATCCTTAGGAAAAGAAACAGATTGGAAACATTTATGTTATACACATGGACCCCAAGACACAGCTCCAGTATAAGGGAAATTCACACAAATAAAAGCATTCTTGTTGACCTGGCAGTGTGGCTCATGGCTCAGGCAAGACTGAATTGAATAGAGAACACAGGTGCCTGACAACATGAATTTTTCTCTAACAGACTTCAATTTTAAATTTGGCATGCTTTTAAGTGGAATAAGTCTGGAGGCTTTGTTCTAATTTTATCCTAGTTTTTGTTAGAAACATATTGTGGGCAAATCTGGTTTAGAGAAATGCAGAGGTCAGCATTCTCTGCAGGAAGAGCAGATTAGGTTTGTGGGTGGGTTTCAACCAGCCCTTAAGCTAGTTAATGTGGAAGATAGCATGGTGGAAGTATTACTACTTCTATTTCTGTGTGTGTGCAAAAGCAGGAAATGACAGACTAATTAGTCTTTATAGCTAGCATAGTTCTGGCTTAGACCTGGTTGTGGCCCAGAGCACTCTGTCACTGACAGCCTTTCTCTTTTTTACATTAAAGCTGACTTGAGAGGCCTTTTCTCCTTCCTGAATTAGGAACACACTAACCATACATAGGTCCTCTTCCCTGATGCTAACGCTGTAGGGACTGTTTTGTGCTGAACTCCCTGGAGCATGGATAGAAGAGTGGAAGCAATAATTGGCTGATATGTACCCTTTCTTTCCACCCTGGTTGCATTTGAGCAGCTGTGTACATACTGATTAAGGTAACGGTAACCCTTTCTTCTCACTCCCAGTCCTTTATCCCCTATTGTTAGAAGCTGTGAACAGTATAGGGAAAAAATCAGTGAATTCTTTTATCCTTAATCTTCCTTGGTGTGTAGAGAGGTGGTGAAATAATTAAGGCAGATGATAGGAAATTGAACTACTGTATTATATTATCACACTGTGAAAAGGGGCAACAGAAACATGTCAGCCTTGCTACATCCTGTAGCATTTGATTGTGTGTTACATATACTTCATCCCTGTCTGGTATATCCTGAGCTTTAACTGGCCTTTGAAGTGAAGATATTCTAGAAGACATCAAGAGCTGTAGGATTGCAGGAGTGCCCGTGATAGACTACAATAGGCTACTCGTCCACACATTCCCCTAGCAAGCTTTTTTTTTACTCACCTGTTCTTTCTCCTCTGGCACTCTTTCCAAGTGTCTTAAGCAGATGCATTTGCCATCTTCTCTATTAGGGAATGAATGGTGATAATGTAACTGGTGAAATGCATATTAGACAGTAGAGTGTAAGATCCTAAGAAGTCCTGCTCTCAGGGTGAGACTTACACTCCGGATCACTGCAGCCTTGTCAGAGTGCTGGCACTCAGTGGTCCCTCAGGTCAGCTGCATTCTGAAGGATGAGTCTCACACCTATTTGATTTTACATTAATGGCTAACCTTTATTGGAGTTGATAATATTTCCCCAAGACCCAAAATAAATAAAACATCCAGAATGAAAAGGAGAGCCTTTTTTTAAGATTTCTGGTTTGGATTTCCCCCCCCCCCCCTCCCTCAGAGTCTGTTCATTAAAAAAATTAGGTATTGGCTAAAATTTATTATGGTAAGCATTTGGAGAATATGGAAGGATAAAATATGCAGATTCTTGTTCATATTTTTCTTCCATCCAATTTTTAAAAATAAAATGTGAAGTCACTCCATCTCTCCTTAGGTTGGTTCTTCTGATCGTTTATATGAGCTTATTATTAACAGTGAGCCCAACAGCCCTCAAAAGGCAAACTTTTCCATGCTCATCTTCATTTTTTGTGGTTATTTTTGTGGTAGTTTGTACCTTTTAGTTCAGTTAAACCTCAGCTTGTGAGTGTCAATTTGCCCTAGCCTAGTCCTCAGACCTTGGAAATGCTTGTCCTGACTAACTATTTGGTGTCTGTGGCACTTACCTGCTGTATCGTTATTTATACTAACTGCAACTGTCCAAAACACAAAATTCCTTTGTTGGTTGAACTTTTTTCTTGCTTTTTTTTAATGGACTTTCAAATCTGTACGTAAAATACTACTCTTAAGACGTGCTTTGAAACTTCACAGGAAGTCTTAATCCAGCAGTCCCAAAGCAAGGACAATTACATAGTGTCAGAGTCCTGATATGCTTTCAGAGAAACTGTTATTAAGGAAATGAAAGGCCTTGTTTTCTAGCATTATTGCTCTCCTTTGTGTCTATCAGTCCATTTGCTCTCCCCTCCCCACTACTGGATTCTGCATGGAGTTTAGTTGTAAGAATTGGTTCTGTGTATGAGAGTGAAGGACTGTTCAAACCTGGGGCTTTCTGCAGTGCAGTATTCTGCAGACAGCACTCTGTTCAACACTACGGTGAGAAGATACTTGGAATTTTGGTTGAGCATGCAGAGGCTCACATCCCTGTTTGGGAAGCAAGACTGTGATTGATGCTTTCTGTGTGAGAAGAAACCAGACCCCCTTTTTCTTTTTTGGTAGGTTGGAATCTACCATGCATCCTTGGAGCACTGAGCCATGTCTTCTCTCATATGAATCTGTGCACAAGCTTTGTCTGCAGGATGAGCTTTATCCTCTGTTTTGTAGGACCTTTGTTAAACAGACTTTTGGAGAAGCTGCCTCCTGGCTAGTCTCTTTAATTCTGCACCAGAGATTTACTGAACCTTTATGTAGAGATGCCTGATAACCAACTAATTTTCCTGTGCATTGGGATTGGAAACGGGTATGGATATTTAATAAGTTACTGAAAATTCTGAGCCCCTATTCAGATGCTTGTGGGACCCCTTTTCCATAACTGGGATCAGGCACCTCATCGTCCTGCCTTGCACACAGCTCCTGGGAGCCCAGGCCAGTGTCCACTAGCCTGTGGCACACAGCGTCAGGGATTCTTTGTGCCTGCTGCAAAGGCTCCGAACTTTGCTGGCCAGTACTGGAAAGGGGAATGGTATTTATTTTTATATTGTGTATATTTTGTCGTGCTCTGCTGATGCCCTGTTTAAGAGAGACACTTACCTCAATAGTTCAATATTGTGCGTTGGTTAATTTTTTGAAAGAACTTTTTAAAAAGCTTTTTGATCTTTGGAGGTCTGTAGATTTATTTCCATATGAACTGGTTATTTTGTATAAAGTACATTCTTAAAATAGCAAGTCTCTGATATGTGTGAATTGTGTGTGTCCATGTGTCACTTTTATTATCAGGGCAAACTCCCATCAAAACAGGTTTATTGTAGGTTCCAAATGCCATTACTTCAAAAATTCCACCCCAGTCCTGGCTGGTGGTGTTCAGTGGTTAGAGTGTCAGCCCTTGCACCAAGGAGTCATGTGTTCAATTTCCAGTCAAGGACACACACCTTGGTTACAAATTTGATCCACAGCCCACAGTCAGGGTATGTGTGGGAAGCAACCAATCAATGTCTGTCTCTATTTTTTGCCCTTCTTGCCTCCCTCCCTCTCTTTCTAAAAATCAATGGAAAAAATATCTTCCACTGAGGATTAACAAAAAAGAAAATGTCATCCCAGCCCTGACTGGTGTGGCTCATTTGGTTGGTGCATAGTTCTGTGTACCAAAGGTTCACAAATTCGATTCCTGGTCAGAGCACATACCCTAGTTCCAGGTTTGATTCTCGATCAGAAGGTGTATGGAAGGTAATTGGTTAATGTTTCTCTCTTTCTCTCTCTGAAATCAATAAGAACATATCCTCAGGCCCAGCCAGCATGGCTCAATGGTTGAGCATTGACCTATGAACCAAGAGGTCACGATTCAAGTACTGGTCCAGACACATGCCCAGGTTGTAGGCTCGATCCCCGGTATAGGGCATGCAGGAAGCAGCTGATTTATTCTCTCTCATCATTGATGTTTCTTTCTCCCTCCCTCTCCCTTCTGCTCTGAAATCAATAAAAATATTTTTTTAAAAGAACATATCCTCAGGTAAGAATTTCTTTAAAAAGTCAAGATGGTGGCATAGGCAAATGTCAGTACTCCATCACCTGCCACAACCACATCAAAGTTATAACCAAAATACAGAAGAACCATCATTCAGAACCACCTGAAATCTGATTTAATGAAAGTTCCACAACTAGAGAAGTAAAGGAGAAAGCACATTGAGACTGGTAGGAGAGATGGAATGGGCTGGTCCAACACCCCCATGTAGCTTCCTCCTCTCCTCTCCTCAGGAGGGATACCTTGGCTGCAGAGGCCTGTGAGGAGTAAGGGGTTCCAGTCCCACACCATACAGCCTAAGTTTCTAGAGCTCAGAAGTTTCCATAAATAGGAATTGTGGCTGTGTGACAATGAGACTGCTGGAGACCCCAGACAGTTCCTTTTAAAGGACCAACACAAATTTACGTGGCTTGGGGAAATCAGGGACATGGAGGAATTGGATTGTTTGTCATCAGGGCAAGAATTTGGGGGCAGCTTTCTCCCAGACAGGTGTTTTCAGAAGTCATTGTTCCTGTGCTGGCCACCACCTCCTCTCACAGAGCTGTCTGGCAGCCATATTTGGCTCACATTCACTTGCTCTGGTGATTCCATGAGGTCATCTCCCCATCTCATTTGCAGTCCAATCCGTACTATTTACAGCTGCTTTTCCATATGAATAGCCTGTCCTGGCTTGAAAGACTTTCCTAAAATCAAGCAGTAGCTGGTGTCAGCAAGACCTGATACGCAGCAGCTTGTCTTCATAGCTCTGGCCCGGTGGCCCCAGACACTGACTGACTGCTCAGCAGTTCAACATTGACCTATAAACCAGGAGTTCAATGGTTCAGGGCACATACCTGGGTTTCTGATTCGGTCTCCATTGGGGAGTGTGCAGGAGGCAGCCAATCATGATTTTGTCTCATCGATGTTTCTATCTACTCTCTCCCTTCCTCTGAAATCAATTAAAAAAATTTTTTTTTAATTGGAAGGTCAGATAAAGATCACATACAAGAAAAAGCTAAAGGAGTCCACCACCAAACCAGTATTACTTGAAATGTTGAAAGGTATTCTTTAAGAAGAAAGGGGGGGGGGGGGGGGGGGAGAGAGAGAGAAAAGAAAAATAAAATATATAAACAATAAAATGTCAATGAATACATAACTCAATCTAAAAATCAAAATAAATGAACAAAGAATCTAATAAAGAAAATAAATAAAATAGAACCAGATGCAAGGAAACATGGAACAGTCCTGAATCTCAGAGAGAAGGGGACGGGGAAGAGATCAACCAAAAGACATATGCATATGTGCATCACCTATGGTCACAATAGGATGATGAAGGCCTGCAATGGGGCAGGATCTGGGTGGAGCAGGGGTAAGGGGATATCTGTAACACACTCAACAATAAAGTTTTGTTCTGTTTTTAAATCATCCCATCCTATCCTCACTTAGTTAAGGTAAGTGGTATTGGTTGGCATAGGAGCTGTGGACCCTGTGCAGTTGATAGTTCCGTGTGCTCCAGAGAACTTAAGAACAGTAATAAAACGCTGGCAGTTCTATACAATGTCATACATTCACCAGCACTCCTCTCCCTCATACTACCCAAACATTCCCAGGCCTTGATACATCATCTTAAACACACCTGTAATGCACTAATTTTGATCTTCTAAAAGTCTAGGGCCTGGTAAATAAAGTTGATAATGGGTTAATAGTGGGCAGCTCTAGCCTGGAGCCATCTGAATTACAAATGTCAGAGTGAGAGCTACAATTTAAGTAAGCAGGTATTTTGCTACCTATCCATTTTATTTATTTCTTCTTTCCATGGGAGGGGAATTGAGAGAGGAAGAGAAGAGTGATAGTCTTCAGACACCAAAATTCCTGGCCTTGGTTAGCCTTAAATAATTCACCTTGCAAAATAGTTGCATTCAGTAAAGAGGCAATACCAATTTCTTAATCTATTCACTCCTAGAGCAATGGCAGATCTTTCCATCTTGCCCTACATTTGTTTGGTATCAAATTATTCCACATTATTTTCCAGATTTTTCTCCTCTTGCTATTTTTATTTTTTTAATATATTTTATTGATTTTTTTTTTTTTACAGAGAGAGAGGAATAAAGAGTTAGAGGATGAAAGAGAATCATTGATCAGCTGCCTCTTGCACAACCTCTACTGGAGATGTGCCCGCAACCAAGGTACATGCCCTTGATCAGAATCGAACCCAGGATCTTTCAGTCCGCAGACCGACGCTCTATCCACTGAGCCAAACCGGTTTCGGCCTATTGCTATTTTTAAAGCTGTGTTCCATTTCATTCTCCCCTGAAAAACATGTTTCCTATAAAATATTATGTCTATCTCATTTCCTAGTTTTGTAGTTGTATTGCCACATAATTTTCGAAGCAAGAGAAAATTTAAAGTAAAAAATCATTAGTAAACCCCAGATTTGAAATGGTACTGGTCAGATTGTTTGTCTCACTGACTGTGCCTCTTTTCTCCTGTTGTTGAAAGGTGGGTGGGGCACTGCTTTGGCCTGGCTTTCTTTGCTATGCTGACACTGGTATGGTCAGCATCAATTCCTCTCTCTGCATAATAGTATCACACCCTTAAAATTTGTGTAAAGTTGATTGCTAACTTAGATTCCCAACTGAAACCTCTTCTGTAACATGAAATCCTTATGAAAAGCTAAATTTTGACAGTTTTAGCTAATAGTAGGGCTTGACTTTTTAAAAAAATATATTTTATTGATTTTTTGCAGAGAAGAAGAGAAAGGGATAGAGAGTTAGAAACATCGATGAGAGAGAAACATTGATCAGCTGCCTCTTGCACACCCCATACTGGGGATGTGCCCGCAATCAAAGTACATGCCTTTGACTGGAATTGAACCCAGGACCCTTCAGTCCTCAGGCCGACGCTCTATCCACTGAGCCATTCCGATTTAGGCAGGGCTTGACTTTTAATAGGAATTTAGCTCTTAGCAGAGTGCCTGGGTATTGCCAGAAATATCTGCTCAGTACCAAAACTGTTACAGAAAACCAGAGAAGAACCAAGCAACCCTTAAATGGAGTTCCTATTATTATTATTATTATTATTATTATTATTATTATTATGTGCAGGCCCAGAGGAAAATGTCTCAAATTCTGGGTCCCGTCGCACTGAAAGTTTCCTGTATTTATACCTTTTTACCCTCTTTGTCTCCCAAATATGGGTTTTTTCCAGTCTCCTTTGCAAGTTCTTTTTTTTTTTTTTTAATATATTTAATTGATATTTTACAGAGAGGAGGAAGGGAGAGATAGAGAGCTAGAAACATCGATGAGAGAGAAACATCGACCAACTGCCTCTTGCACACCCCCTACTGGGGATGTGCCCGCAACCAATGTACATGCCCTTGACCGGAATCGAACCTGGGACCTTTCAGTCCTCAGACGGACGCTCTACCACTGAGCCAAACCGGTTTCGGCATCCTTTGCAAGTTCTTAAAAAGCGCCTATGTGCTGGGGCTTTGAGACCTCAACCAAAGACGTGGCCTGGCACCAGCACTGATAACTTCATCTGGGGAAGGTTTAATGGCCTCTCTGAAATGGGAGTAATTTTATTTTCCTTATTATTTAAGCAAGCATTTACAGAAGCCAAAATAGCAGGGTTAAAATTTTAAACAGCAGTTTTTATATAAGATGGATGCTTCAAAACTGGTCAACTGTTTCAAAACTGGGTACAGTTTGGAAGCCAACCTTCACCCTGAAATCTCTTCCTAAGATAGGGAATGACCTCTCTCATTAAACTGTTAGGCAAGAGTTGCCTTTGGAAGGCATGCCATTGGACCTTACCTCCTGAGTGTCCAGTCTATTAATCGTTTTCACTCTCCCCTCCCTCACTGGGTTCTCTGTAAACGGGCCAGCAGATGTTTCCCTGGCGTCATTTTTTCCCCTTAGGTGTTTTTAATATATTTTATTGATTTTTTACAGAGAGGAAGGGAGAGAGATAGAGAGCTAGAAACGTCGATGAGAGAGAAACATCGACCAGCTGCCTCTTGCACACCCCCTACTGGGGATGTGCCCGCAACCAAGGTACATGCCCTTGATCGGAATCAAACCTGGCACCTTTCAGTTCGCAGACCAATGCTCTACCACTGAGCCAAACCGGTTTCGGCAGTACAGTATCCTTACTTTTTGAGACTGAATAATGCACTGTATAAATATACCATACCACCTTTTATTTATCTTTTGATCAATGAACATTTGGATTCTTTCCTCTTTGGGCTACCTTCAATAATGTTAATGAACATGGTATAAAATGTCTTTGTAAGACCCTCCTTTCAATTCTGGGTAAATGCCCTAAAGTGGAGTTACTGGACTGTAATATAATCCTATCTTTAATTTTTTTTTTAATTTTTTTTTTTAGGAACTGCCATGCCACTGTACCATTCATTCCACAGTAGCTGCACTGTTGTACATTCCCATCAACAATGCACAGAAAGAAAAAAAAAATGCACAGAGTTCCAGTTTTTCCTCATCCTCCGCAGCATGTTTTCTGGGTTTTTATTTTACTACACTAGCTGGTGTGAGGTGATAGCACTCTAGCACCCTTTCTTGTACACATTGCTATTCCCTCTTTTGCAGCTGCCACTTTAAAATCGTGTCAACAGCCAAACTTGTCTTCCCTCTTCTCTCCTCACCCAATACCAATACCAGTGCTCCAGCTGATCCATGTCTCATACCTGGTAATTGTCCTTGGCATGTTCAACCAGATGCCAGGCCCTATTGATTCTTCACAGAAATCTTCTCTCTTCCCTCCTGCACACAGATTCTCAGTTTTATGTCTTGCTTGGATTATTGTAATAATCCTGGCCTGTGCAAACCACTTTACTGCCATAAACCTGAACTGTGCCTTCTAATTCCCTGATCTCCATCCCATAGTAGCTTCACATTGCCCACAGGAAATTTAGGGGGGAAATTAGAACACCTTTTATGTGTGGGTACTGTTCTAAGTGCTCTACATCCAAGTGTAAATCTCATTTCACATATAAGGAAGCAGGCAAAGAGAAGTAACTTGTTTGGTACACAGATTGTAAATTGTAAACGAATTCAAATCAGCTCAAAAGCAGTCTTACCCCAAAGCCTATGAGCCACTCTACTCTGCTGCCTTGTCATTCCCCTTGTGATGTAGAAAAACACTTAATTGAGAAGCTTGCCTAAAGTGAGGTCATTATTATTAACTTGGGATCTGGAATTTGAACATGGGTTTCTGACCCCATTTTTCTCCTAAATCCTTGGCCAGGCAACAGGTCCTGTACTATACAACATGGCTTAACAGGTTTATTCTCCCTGTACTGCCTTATCCCTTACCCCAAATTGGACAATTCGTTTCTAAAGAGAAGCTGGGTTTCAATTTCACCTCTCTAGCTTAGAGCTGAAATGCAGAGCTGTGCTCACAGCTCAGATGTAACTTTCTTCTTGCAGCCCTCCCACTGCTGAGCACAGACCCCTGAGAAATCCATGTCAAACTAACAAAAAAACAGTGTCCCAAGAGTGCCTTGAAACTACTGGAGCCTGACGCCTTTATTGCGGGAGTCACAAGCCTACAGTTAGAAAAGTGCTTGAGTCTGGGAAGCAGAGATTAGCCTCTGGCACTAAATATCTGGCAGAGTGTTTGCATTGCATTGATTTTTCTGTTGTTTTGTTCTCCTCCCTGACCTCCAGGTCTCTGAGTGGGTGGTGAGTCTCCAATCATCACCACCACCCCCTCAGGCTACACACACACTCCCTTGAGCAAATCTCAGCCAGAATTTTTGTTCCAGTCATACCAACAACCAAGTCAACAGCCACCTGGAGAGACAGGGCTGACTTCAGCTCTTCTGGGGGTTTCATTCAAAACCCAACCTGTTTGAAGGTGAAAGGGCTGTGGGTGTGAAGAGGCAGGGCCACAAACAAAATAAGGATTCAGCAGTAATCTGGCCTATATCTTGGCATCCAGAAAAGTCAGAAGGTTCTTACTGAAAACAGGTAAGTTTTTGTGTTGTCTGACTGTATCAAGCTCGGAATCAGCAGGCAAATGAACAGTTGAGGAATAGGTCAGAACAATCAACAGGAAAAGGTTTCATCTCTCTTCTGCTGCTTTGAGTAGGAAGGTAGCAGGCAAGAGGAGGTGGCTCCCTCTTTGGACATCTAAGTCGGGAAGCAGATATTTCCTGGCACTGCTTGTGTAAGGGACTCATACCTGGAGAGCTCTCCTTGCTCTGCTTATTAGAGGAAGGGAGAGATGATGGTTGTTATGCCCAGATTCCAGGGTCTCCAAATGACCACCAGGGAGCCAGTCGAATCCGATACAATAACAAAGAGTCTTTATTGCAAACTGGTTTGGGCTCCCTGTCCACTGCAGGCCTGGTCCCCCAAAACTGCCCTCCCCTGCTGGCCATCTTGTGGCAACCATATTTGACCACATGGGGGTGGCCATCTTATGCAAAGGCGTGAGGGTTAATTTGCATATTACCTCTTTATTATGTAGGATTTTAAAATATGATATTACTCATGTTGCAATAAAATTTCCCAAACATTTATCTCAGTTTGGTTTCTGTACTTTTCACAGTCCAGCAATGAATCATATGCCCTTGATAAGTACTGACTTTAGGAAGGATGAACTAGATGACTGACTAGTGTTTGTGTGTGTGTGGGGGGGGGGGCGGGGGGCGGCGGGTAGGAATAGAAAGAAGAAAGGATAAGTCAATGATGATATGTAGATTTGACCTGGATAACTGAATGGCTACTGTGCTGTTCTCAGAGCCGAGGAACCAGGAGGAGGAGCAGCAGGTCTGAAAGGGCAGATGTGAGTTGGAAGAGGGTTGGATGTACCAGTGCATGGCTGAACCAGTGGTGTGGGAATGACCAGAGGCAGTTAAAATTAAGGTGTGAGGTTCCACAGACAGCCTGAACTGAACAAACTTAGGAATCATAAGCAAGTAGGCCATAATCAAAGCCCAGAAGAAGATAGGCTTGCTCTGCATGGCTGTGTGGAGGGAAAGGAGTAGGGAACCTTGGCCAGGATTCTGTCGGCACCAGTGACCAAGTGACATCGGTCACAGGAGGCTGAGGAGCCACAGGAGATAGAGTGTTTTACATGGAGGGTGAAAAGTGGTGCTATCTGAAGAGCTCAAAAGCCTTGGTCTGCTCTTGTCCCTGTAGCTCACCACCTAGAACCATTTTTCTAAATAGATTTGTCTTTGAACAAATTCACCCCATTGGGTGAGACAACAACCTTCTGTCCCTCCCAGTTGGTGTGGTTCAATTGGTTGATCATCAACCCATGCACCAAGAGGTCATTGGATCTATTCCCAATCAGGGCACATGTATGGCTTGCAATATTAATCCCCATTAGGGGATGTGCAGGAGGTAGCCAATCAATGTTTCTCATTGATATTCCTCTCTCTCCTCCCATCCTCTCTCTCTAAAATCAAGAAAAACTTTTTTTTAAGTTACCGTATTTTTCGGACCATAAGACGCACTTTTTTTTCCCTCAGAAGTGGGAGTAAAAAGTCCCTGCATCTTATGGTCCAAATATAGCCTACACATATACTTTAAAAAAAAAGTTTTTTTACTTGCCCAGCTCTGTGTGGTCTCTGTGTGCTTGCCCGGCTCTAAAATGGTTCTAAATGCTGCTGTTTACTTTACAGGGTTGATTACATGTGTTTATGACTGTGATGTTGGGTTTTAATGCACATAAAATATTTTAGGACACTATTTGTTTCAGAATCTTTTTTTCTTCATTTCCCTTCTCTAAAAACTGGTGCGTCTTATGGTCCGGAGCGTCTTATGGTCTGAAAAATACAGTATGTTCCAGCTGACTCTTGACTTGGCATCCGTTCTACCACCCTAATCCTTCTCTCTTCACTTCATTGACCTTTCATCCAAAATTTACTTTTCTCAACCCATTCTTTCAGAAGCATTGTCCTTATACTACATTCAGTGTGGTAGTATTGCTCTTAAAAACATTCAGTGTGTGTGTGTTTTCATATTAGAATGTTTATAAAACAAGGTCAACATCTGAAGTTACCCTTTCTTTCCAAATCTTCTTTGTAAAAGAATGTGTTCTTCAGCTTAGACTTAGAACTTATTTCTTTAATCTTTATTACTGAAAGTATTACATATGACCCCTTCTAACCCACTCCTGTCCCCCACCCCAGGCCTTCATTTGTCTGTGTCCCTGGGTTATGCATATATGCATACAAGTTTTTTAGTTAATCTTTTTCCAACTACCCACACTCTCCCCCATGCTTCTATGTCTCTGGATCTATTTTGTTCATCAGTTTATTTTGATCATTAGATTCCACATATGAGTTAGATCATGTGCTGGGGTTCTTGTCCCAGCATTACAAAGGGTTCAGCGATCTGGAAAAAGGCTGTGAGTAGATTAAGAAAGAGCCCAGAGCCGAAATATAGTTTTGAAAGGCATTGGGAGTTAGGGGAGCTTTAGCTAAAGGAGCTAAAGATTCTCCTCATCTCAGGACATTTTATTAACAGTTTTTCCTAAGACAAGGTGGAGACATACACTTCGAAGGGTAGAGTTTCAAAGGTTAGGGTTAACAGAGGCCTTGTCAGATTGGGGAATAGCCTACAGCTGTTCAGGTGTTTGGCCAACAGGAGGCAATAACATGTAGATTAAGAAGCCCTGAGCTATCTGGAAGTAAACAATCATCCTATTCAGGTTTGGGGGAAGTGCCTTTTCAGCTGTTCCAAGAGGTAATTACATATGTGATTTAGCCCTTGTTGAGCTCCCAAGTTTTATCAATCTTTTGATAAAAGTCTTGTAATTATGACATGCTGGAAGTGGCTCCCGGCAATCATATGATACTTATCTTTCTCTGACTGGCTTATTTTGCTTAGCATAATACTCTTCAGGTCCATCTGTGCTGTGGCAAATATAAGAGTTCTTACTTTTTTATTTTGTATTAATTATTATTTTTTTAATGTTTTTTAATTGATTTTTTCAGAGAGGAAGGGAGAGAGCTAGAGAGTTAGAAACATCGATGAGAGAGAGTCATTGATCAGCTGCCTCTTGCACACCCCCTACTGGGGATATGCCCGCAACCAAGGTAGTACATGCCCTTGACCAGAATCGACCCTTCAGTCCCCAAGCCGACGCTCTATCCATTGAGCCAAACCAGTCTTGGCATTACTTTTTTAGAGCTGTGTAGTATTTCATTGTGTAAATGTACTACACCTTTTTATAAGTACCATGCACTAACCGATTGCACCACTGGAGCTCCTGTATTACACCTTTTTAATCCACTCATCTGCTAATGGGACCTTGGGCTGTTTTTAAATCTTAGCTATTGAAAATCGCACTGCTATAAACACAGGGGTGCATGTATTCTTTATGGTTGGTGTTTTAGGATTCTTAGGACATATTCCTAGAAGTGGGGTCACAGGGTCAAATTGGATTTCCAGTTTTTATTTTTTGAGGAAAGTCCATACTGCTTTCCATATTGGCTGTACCAGTTTTCATTCCCACCAGCAGTGTACTAGTGTTCCCTTCTCTCCATATCCTCGCCAACACTTGGCCATTTGTTGATTTGTTGATGATAGCCATTCTGACAGGTATATATTAAGTGATACTTCATACTTGTTTTAATTTGCATCTCACTGATGATTAATGACTTTGAGCAATTTTTCATATGTCTCTTAGCCTTTTATAATAATCCACAGTGGACATACAGAATCAATTTAGGTCCTTTGCCCATTTTTAAATTGGATTATCTTCCCTTTGTTAAATTCCGTACATATTTTGGAAATTAACCCTATATAGGATGAATCATTGACAAACCATGCAGTGGGTTGTCTTTTCATTTTGTTGATGGTTTCTTTTGCTGTGCAGAAGATCTTTATTTTGATATAGTCCTATTTATATATTTTCTCTTTAGTTTCCTTTATCCTAATAAATGTATTGATAAACATATTGCTATGAGAGATGTTTGAGATTTTGGTGCCTATGGTTTCTTCTAGGATTTTGATTGTTTAAAAACTTACATGTAAGTCTTTTATCCATTTTGAGGGTTTTGTGTGTGTGTGTGTGTGTGTGTGTGTGTGTGTGTGTGTCTGTGTGTGTGGTGTAAATTGGTGGTCTAGTTTCAGGTGGTTTTTTTTTGCATGTGTCAGTCCAATTTTCCCAGCACCATTTGTTGAAGTCTGTCTGTATTCCATTGCATGCTCTTGTCTCCTTTGTCAAATATTGAGTATAATGGCTTGAGTCAATTTCTGGGTTCTCTTCTGTCCCATTGATCTAGATGCTTGTTCTTTTGCCAATACTAGGCTTTTTTTAAAATGTATTTTGATTGATTTAATAGAGAAAGAGTGAGGGAGAGAGAGATTCAGTAATGAGAGAGATGATTGACTGCCTCCTGCATGCACTACACTGGGGATTGAGCCCACAACCCACGCATGTGCCCTGACTGGGAATTAAATTGTGATCTCCTGGTTCATAGATCAATGCTCAACCACTGAGCTACACCGACTAAGCAGTGCTAGGCTGTTTTGAGTACATTGACTTTGTAGTATAACTTGATATCTGGTATTGTGATTCCTCCAACTTTGTTCTTCTTTCTCAAGATTGCTGTGGATATTTGGGGTCTTTTTGGTTTCATATAAATTTTTGGAGTGTTAGATCTGTGAAATATGATATTGGTATGTTAATAGGGATTGCACTGAATCTATGGATTGTTTTGGGTAGTATATACATTTTAATGATGTTGATTCTAATACAGTATTTTCTTCTACTTGTTTATATCTTCCTCTATCTCTATTTTCAACATCCTGTAGTTTTCCAAGTTCTTTTAGTTCCTTGGATAAGTTTATCTCTAAGTTTCTTTTTTGTTGTTATTGCAATAGTAAAAAGGAGCCCTAACTGGTTTGGCTCAGTGGATAGAGTGTTGGCCTGCAGACTGAAGGGTCCCAGGTTCGATTCCAGCTGGGGACATATACCTTGGTTGTGGGCACATCCCCAATAGGGGGTG